ATCAAATCCACCATATAATATATGATTATTCATTGTAGCTGTTAAGTTATTTTCCATACTAATGAATTTAGGTAAGATTGCCTTGCAAGTTGGTTGTTCTGACAAAATTATCCAGCCAATATCCAGTACATTTATTCTTCATTCTTGTATTAATCTCTAAAGAAAAAATATTTATATTAGAAAGCAAAATGACAATGTAATGAGTCTCGGGAGGGTGAGGATTCTTTTATTTGAAAATGTTTGTAAAAATTTTGTTTAATTAACTCTAATGTGTAAAACCAAAATGTATAAGTATTTTAACTGACAACATCTTCAACCTTTGCTCTAACACTGCATTTGATGACAGCTTTATAGTTGGACTTTTGTTTTGAACAGAGTTACGGAGTCAATATACAGAAATACAGGATCAGGATTTAATTGAATATCTCCTGAGAACTGTCCAATAGGTTCCTTTGATATTGTCAATTGGCAATATTGCCTGCTATGTTTTCACTGTTTAAAATATTGCAGAAGTCACAGAAGGATTGTTTTTAATAGTGTATAAATCTTTTTGTGAACTATGTTGACAAATGGCCTAAAATATCCTCGAAAATATCCTATATTTTATACAGTGTAATATATTGTGCATTCCATGTAAACTCTACGCCGAAGATACGGCAATATTAACTAAAGATAGTATAGTAAATATTTGCCGAACTGGCGAACTCATGTATTATAAATATGTGGGACATATATTTGCACAAATTTGGTATTTAAATATATAATATGTGGTATTTGACTACTTATCAGATGAGGATAAGATTCCATGTTGATAAATAACTTCGGAATAATATCGCAAGTAGAATGGCGAGAAAAAAAGACAGCCAATTCAAAATAAATTGATATAATTTTAATATCAAGATATTTTTGAAAGAATACATGCACGATTTATACACGAGGCCTGACGAGGCTAAAGTATGCCCGTTCGCAGGTTAGATGCGGGCAAGATGAAACATTGATGTAAACGAATCGCTGATTGGCTTAAATTATATAAGCTCGTCGCTGAATGGCTATGTGCTAACATACGGTACGGTAACAGTACGGTCGCGTTTGCGATAGCATATATATCTGCTTCGCAGATACAAAAATGATAACTCTCTAACATCTTCATAATGTTAACGAGAGATAGTTACGTCAACATAACTCTCTCATGTTAGTTCAAGGAAACGTCGGGAGAGTTTAGAAATTGGGTGTGGTGGTTGGGAAAAGTGGGCGTGGTTTGGGCGTGGTTCGAACATAACTCTCCGGAATCATAACTCTCTGAGACAACTCTCCGCTTCATAACTCTCCGTTTAGCCGGTCCCGTACGTTAGGCATAGGTTGTATACGTTTCAAGCACGGTCGCGTACGGTGCCATACGCTGGCATACGGCGAGGCAGAAAATTTTTTTTAAGCATGTTCAAAAATTTTGTGCGTATCGGACATATGCTTTATACGATAAGCATACTCTAGGCACACGCTGAATACGTTAGAGGTACGCCAGATGTACGGTACTCATACGCTGGCATTTCAAAGGATTTTTGTGCGTATGAAAATTATTTCATTAATTTTCATACGGTTCTCATACGTTTCTCTCATACGCAATAGTGTGACAGGGCCTTCAGCACGCCATAGCTCAACGTATACGGTATTTGCTAACATGTTCACGTCGCCATATTCTCTTCTTTCAATCAGTCGATCACAAAAAAATTCGTCCAAAAACAAGAAATTCATGATATATTCTTAAAAGAATAATTGCTAATTTGTAAATCGTTTGAATGGAAAGCAAAAAATCGTCAGCTAACACAGATTCTTGCTAACTTTCTGCTTTGTTTTGAATGTAAATGTAATGGAGCTTTGTTTCTGCGCGCGATTTTTTGATCAGCGACAACAACAAATTTTCAACTAATTATTCGGTTAAATAACCATATCATATATTCATTGTCTTAATTTGCAATATCAAGCGAACTAGAACAGCACCACTTTGCTGTCTAAGGCCACCAAATTGCGCAGTCCATTTGACACTGGTTTGATAAAAACGTTAAAAACTACGTTTATTTAAAAAGATGTTAAGACGTTTCGACCAGTGACTTAGGTATTCGTCAGTGACTTAGGTCTTCAGTGACTTAGGTCTTCCCCATTAGCAGTGACTTAGGTCTTCCCCATTAGCGACTTAGGTCTTCCCCATTTGCGACTTAGGACCAGTGACTTTGGTTTTCCCTATTAGCGCTACAATTGCTGACATAGTTATGGAACATGTGGAAGAAACTGCAATTTCTACAGCACCCCATCCCCCGCGGTGGTGGTTCAGATATGTCAGTCGACGATAGCCATTCCTGCCTGAAGAAAACCGAGGTGAACGTTTTTCATAATCACCTCAATTCTATTTACCCGGCCATATTTACAATTCACCATATATCGAACTGGAAGAAAACCGACGCCTCCCATTCCTGGATACAGTGACTATCCGCTCTAACGGTAAAGTAGAAGTGGAAATATACAGAAAACCAACTCACACAGACAAATACCTGCACTACGACTCACACCATTCCATGCAACACAAACTGCCGGTCCTAAATACTCTCCTCGACAGAGCTGAGAAAATTCCCTCGTCCAACAAAGGAAAACGCAGAGAAAGAAAACATGTATTCAAAGTCTTCAGATATGTCAGTCGACGATAGCCATTCCTGCCTGAAGAAAACCGAGGTGAACGAATTTCATAATCACCTCAATTCTATTTACCCGGCCATATTTACAATTCACCATATATCGAACTGGAAGAAAACCGACGCCTCCCATTCCTGGATACAGTGACTATCCGCTCTAACGGTAAAGTAGAAGTGGAAATATACAGAAAACCAACTCACACAGACAAATACCTGCACTACGACTCACACCATTCCATGCAACACAAACTGCCGGTCCTAAATACTCTCCTCGACAGAGCTGAGAAAATTCCCTCGTCCAACAAAGGAAAACGCAGAGAAAGAAAACATGTATTCAAAGTCTTCAGATATGTCAGTCGACGATAGCCATTCCTGCCTGAAGAAAACCGAGGTGAACGAATTTCATAATCACCTCAATTCTATTTACCCGGCCATATTTACAATTCACCATATATCGAACTGGAAGAAAACCGACGCCTCCCATTCCTGGATACAGTGACTATCCGCTCTAACGGTAAAGTAGAAGTGGAAATATACAGAAAACCAACTCACACAGACAAATACCTGCACTACGACTCACACCATTCCATGCAACACAAACTGCCGGTCCTAAATACTCTCCTCGACAGAGCTGAGAAAATTCCCTCGTCCAACAAAGGAAAACGCAGAGAAAGAAAACATGTATTCAAAGTCTTCAGATATGTCAGTCGACGATAGCCATTCCTGCCTGAAGAAAACCGAGGTGAACGAATTTCATAATCACCTCAATTCTATTTACCCGGCCATATTTACAATTCACCATATATCGAACTGGAAGAAAACCGACGCCTCCCATTCCTGGATACAGTGACTATCCGCTCTAACGGTAAAGTAGAAGTGGATATATATAGAAAACCAACTCACACAGACAAATACCTGCACTACGACTCCCACCATTCCATGCAACACAAACTGTCGGTCCTAAATACTCTCCTCGACAGAGCTGAGAAAATTCCCTCGTCCAACAAAGGAAAACGCAGAGAAAGAAAACATGTATTCAAAGTCTTGAGAGACAACGGTTACCCATTTAAGTTTATAAAGTCTTACGATATCAAGAGAAAACGCCGTCATACTGATAACACCAATGCTAATTTACATACCACTGATGTCAACAACAACAGGGCAAACCCCGCTGATTGTGTTGCTCCCAGTTTCGTAGTCTTACCGTATGTCAAAGGCGTTGCAGAAAAGATCTCCCGAGTATTAAGGAGAGAAAATATCAAAGTGTGCTATAAACCCACCAGTACCCTTTCCCACCAATTCCCCAAACCCAAAGACAATTTACCACCCGAGCAGACAAGCGAAGTCATTTACAAAATCTGTTGCTGCGATTGTGACTTTGTATATTATGGCCAAACGGACAGAGCACTGAAAACTAGAATAAGAGAACACGAACGAGCTCTTTCGCTTTTTGACCAATATTCAAAAGTCGCTAAGCATGCCGAACAATACGACCATCGAATTGACTTCAGCAATGCCACCATTGTCAACAAGACAAAGAACTATCGCGAACGTTTGTTTTTAGAGGCTTGGTATTCCCTCAAGGATCATAACGCAGGAAATGACCATGTCGAAATACCGGATGTGTATAAAACACTTATCTGCTAATTAACTCTGAACCTTTACATATTGTTCAGTTTTGAACTTAGTCAACCTTTTTAACTGACGAAGACCTAAGTCACTGGTCGAAACGTCTTAACATCTTTTAAATAAACGTAGTTTTTAACGTTTTTATTAAACCAGTGTCAAACCTTTCTACATTTCAATAATATGTCTAATCCTTGTTACAATTTTAACATTTTTAATATATATATATATATATATATTTAACAAATATAAAACATTTTCCGTGTTGATATACAGTTATATCAACACGAGTGGAATTGGGAAAACGAGAAATTGTATGGAAACACGACGCCCGAAGGGCGGAGTGTTTTCATACAATTTCGAGTTTTCCCAACTTCCACGAGTGTTGATATAACTATATATCAATACGGAAAATGTTTTATATTTTTTTTATAATATAGCAATGTCAAAAGCCCGAAGGATGAGAAAAATTTCCGTGTTTACGAGCGGCGGAAAATTTCCCGTGTTGACATTGAGTTATATCAACACGGCTCTTAGCCAATCAGCGTTCAGAATTTACAAATGCTATATTATAAATATATATACGTAGCACTTCATCACGAGAGGTGTCACATATACTAATGTACACGACGTTCGTTCCTTTTAGATAAACAGTACCAAACCTCTTACGTGAAACCATTTGTCTTTTAGGCTACGTTAAAAGCGCTTTGAAAACCAAAGAAAATGTCCGAATTTATGACAGACGGCACGCTTGCTTCTTCTGTGGGGCATTATGCTCAAAAATTGGAAGACATTTGTTGACGAAACACAAAGAAGAAGACGACGTTGTTAAGGCCTTGTCGCATAAAAAGAACTCCTCTGAAAGAAAAAAGAATTTGACGAAGCTTCGTTTAAAAGGTGACTATCACCACAATATGAAGATTTTGGAAATTGGTGGTGGTGAGCTTATTGTTGTTCGACGACCGGCTGAAGACGAGACTTGTACTATCGACGACTTCCTTCCATGTGAGTTTTGCCTGGGTTTTATGAAAAGAAGGGACCTGTGGAAACACCAGTTGGCTTGCGAGTTTAATCCAAAGCCTGAAAACAAGCACGGCAATCAGCAAGTCCAACTGAAGGCAAAACTCACATTAGCTCCTACGATAACTGGCAGCGAGGACGAAAACTTGAACAGAATAATTTCTGTTATGAAAAATGATCCCATTACCAAAATTGTTCAGAAAGACCCACTAATCAAGGCATTTGGATTAGCCATGATTGAAAAGAGCGGACCAAAAGACGGCCAGTTTATTTCCCAGAAAATGAGAGAGCTTGGTCGTTTGGTAGAAGGCTTGATGTCGGTTGAAGAAAATAAAAAAGTCCAGTTGTCTGACTTCATCAAACCCGAGAAGTTCGATACTGTCGTCACAGCCGTACGCAATATCGCTGGATTTAATTCTGAAAATAATAAGCTCGAAGTGAGCATTCCATCGCTTGCATTAAAAGTGGGTTACTCCATACAAAAATGTGCCTCGATTTTAAGTGGCCAAGCTTTGCGTACGAAGGATGATCTTGCATTGAAAGATACTAAAAACTTCCAAAAACTGATGAAGTCAGAATGGGATGGTCGTGTTTCTCATCATTCATTAGCTACCCTGCATGAAAGAAAATTTAACAAAGTTGATGTGCCTCCTCTTGCCGAAGATGTTACTAATTTAAAGAAATTCATTGAGCAGAAAATCGAAGACGAGTCAAAAAATTTGAAGGCGAGCCCAACCGTGAAAAGCTGGACCTCGCTGGCCAAACTGCTGTTGGCAAGGATTGTGTTGCTAAACAAAAGAAGGGCAGGTGAAGCGTCGAAGTTGCTGCTCACGTCCTACAACAGCAGACCAGATTGGACACAGTCAGCGAGCATGGAAATCCTGGACAGTTTAAGCCCTTGGGAACGAGAGCTATCAGCGCGGTAAGAAAATGAATATTTCATGAATAGTTTTTTATGGTTGGGAATCTCGAAATAAATGAAAGCGCCATGCATGTCCAAACCAAATTCTATCAAGAACTTTTAATTCACACGTCTACTATACTACTAGTGAACTACCATTTAGTCAACTCGATATATAATGACGAATTTAATTTGATTTTTTATGTATTATTTAAAACATAAGCAGCAGAGTTTTATCAGATGTAACAATACGCACTGCGATACGAAATATTAATCACACACGTAATATTGATGACTTGAAAATACGTCTTTCCAATAAATAAATTTTTTAAATATAACTAACGTGAGTCGAAGAATATAAACACAACAGCAAAAGTTTAATATTATATACCACCAATTGAAACAGTACGCGAGTAGATATATCAAAGCTGTAACGCTACAAATTACAGTCATTTGAGCCAATGTACAATATATAAAATATATAGTTCAGCTTAAGGTTCTGACAGCAGGGGCGTGGCGAACGATTCCAGATTGGGGGGAAGGGCGTCATACCATAATGACCAGCTTTTTCAATGAAAATGACCAACTTTTTCGTGTTGTTTATCTGACACATTTCTATAAATACAACTGTAATCTCGCCCCTTAGAAATATTGTCATTTGACCCTAGAAACGGTCAATTTTGAACAGCCCAACATGCTTTGCGAACGCACGTTGTTTCACAATCAAACGGAATCGGCTGTATTTCCCAATAGCATCTCAATAAAAATTGAAAATTATGGAACTTACCCGTATGCACATTACAAAACCAATGCACTGAATCAATACTTCATGAAACGAATCATATAGAATTATCGCAAAATTTGACCCTTCAGCTCCAATGGTCAGTGGCCTGAAAATTGCTGTACTTAGCTTCATTGCAGTATATACGTAATTGTAATCGGCGTTATTAATTTTTGTAAAGATTTAAAATTATTTTACAGCTGTCAGTAGTATTTCCTCAATATATTTCGCCACAAAATATAACATTTCCTTTAATATTTAAATAATTCCTTTGACCAAGAAAAAATTTTGACCAACTTTTCAAAGTTCAGAATTATTAGGCGTCGCACCTCTTGTCTGACAGTGACAGTGGCAGTGACAGTGAAGAGGTGGAATGATGTTTTTGTTTTGAGGTTCAATATGATGTATTTTGAGTTAAAAGAGTTCCTGTTATATAAACAAATCAAGGTCTTTTTAATTAACGATAACTAAATTTTGCATGCTTGAAATTAACGACAACATAAATTAACATTAATTAGGTTAACGCGAATTTTTATAATCCGCGTTAATGAAGTGCATCGCTAATTTCCCATAATAAGGGTATATTACTATATTACTATTACTATACCACCACCACTACTATACAACTCTTATTGTTACTCAGCCACACTTTTCGCGCTGTGACGATTAGACGCGCCGTCGGTAGTGGTAGCAAAACTAAAATCTACATGTAAGTCTCACCAATATCGAAATGAGGTCATAGCGATTTTTATATTTTCTAGGCTTGACATGGTTGAGATAAGAGGAAAGAAAGGACGGAAAGTTGCAGTAATCCTTACTCCTGAAATGAAAGCAGGTATATCAACCTTATAAGTTATTTGTAGGATTGAGAATAGTATAATAATAAACATATAATACTTTTTGTTTGTGGAAACACCACGTAAATTTATTGTCTGCAAATAAAAATTAAATTAACGTAAATTTATTAGGTATCGACCTGTTGAATTCTTTGCGATCGACCATTGGGGTAGCGGAAAAGAATCCATACGTTTTCGCCAGAGCCAACCGCGATTCGCTTGAATCTTTAAGAGGACCGGATTGCCTTAGAAGTTGTACTATAGAATGCGTCCCAAAATTGAAAAATCCCAAAAATATCACGGGTACAGGGCTCAGAAAGTATATAGCAACAATCAGTCAAGTTCTCTCGCTGAAAGAACAAGAGATCGACTGGCTTGCAAGACACCTTGGACATGACATTAGGACCCACCGGGAGTATTATCGCTTGCATGAGTCTACAATAGAACTAGCTAAAGTCAGCAAACTACTTTTGGCTGTGGACTGCGGAAAGGCAGGATCGCTAAAGGGCAAAAGTCTGGACGAAATTGATATCGAAGGTGGGTTAAGACTGAAAGTATACTTATGTCTTGAAATCAAAGATAATCTAGTCTATATACTGCGATTCCTAATTCCAAATTTTAATCAATGGAATTGCATGAGACATCTCTATTATCCACAACAACCATAATTTCAACGAGACAAAATGGCCATATGCCACACGCAGGATATAACCAGTGCCAGTGGACATAACAAGTCAAATTTTGACACATCAATGTTTCAGTTTCACACAGAAAGATTTCTTTTAAATTTCAAGAAGATTAATAAAGAACGAAGTGACCATGCACAAATCCTGTCAAATAGCAGAAAATCAAAACTTGGTTCACATATATAGTTGTAACCATATATTGTAATGCATTTTCCGCCGGATTTCCAAGGCGACCGATGTAATAGAGTTTCGATAAAATGTCTGAAAACAAGGCAGAGAAAGAGTGATTTTACATATAACAGATACAAGAGAAGAAAGATTCTGACTATTAAAGGATACAGCAATATATTTTTTATTATTTCATTTTAAAGAACTTTTAAAATTATACGTAAATCTTTTTACCGATTTTGTTATTTTATTAAAAATAAATTGCCGTATCCCTTTAAGCGTCGGCAACGGTGACAATTGGCAATTGACCTAAAACAAGTGCATCTATAAGCGTGATGCAGATTGTTTTTTAAGGAAAACTTGCTGTTATCCTTATTAGGCCGGACCATTTATATGAGACAAAATAAAGTCGCAATTTACATAAGACGCGACTTATATTTGCAAATTTCTTTTATAAGCGTCCAATCAAATAATGCTATTAAAACGCCACAAATTACTCAAATTATTTTTCTAGATATTTCTGAGCCAGATCTCAGTGAAGACGAAGAAGATGAAAACAATGAAGAATTTGATAAATCCAAAGCTGTCGCAGGTTATTATTATTACCATTACCATTACCGTTACTGTTGCCGTTGCTGTTGTTACTGTTATTTTGTTGTTGTTATAGTGTTGTTGTCATTATTACTCCTGTTCTTACTGTTGTCGTTGTTGTTATGTTTTCGATGTTTTTGTTGGTTGTTGTTACTGTTACTGTTATTATTACAATTACTGTTGTTGTTACTGTTACTGTTACTGTTACTGTTGCTGTTGCTGTCGTTACTGTTGTTTTGTTGATGTTATAGTGTTGTTGTCATTATTACTCTTGTTGTTACTGTTGTCGTTGTTATGTTTCCGATGTTTTTGTTGGTTGTTGTTACTGTTATTATTACTGTTACTATTGTTGTTAATGTTACCATGGATTGTAAAATAACTGGATAGGAAACTGTAGTCACATGGCATATTTCCGTTCCGCTGATTGGCTGAAAGTCCTTTGTTCTTGCTCGAGAGATGTTGAAACCTAGTTGAAAATCGGCCATACAATGGCAAATGATGGCGAAGTATTGTTGATTTTCCTATGCTTTTAACTGAGATTTTTTACCTTTTCATGTTTTTTTTTACAATGTGTTTGTTCTTGTTTTTTGATATTTTATACTGATCTATGGACAAAATAAACTAGCCTAAGCCACACAACAACTCTTAGGCAAGTGTTCATCTTTATTGTTTACATTATTGTCAGTTTACAACAGAAGTAATTGCGTCGCCAATAGCAGCCTATTTCTTCCGTATTTTGCGAAAATTGCGACGCAAATTTCGAATAATTAATCACTGTATTTTTACCCATCGCATACTTCAACAAGTACATTTATTCTTTTATGTTACTGTTGTTGTTACTGTCAGTGTTGTTGTTACTGTTGTTGTTGTTGTTATTGTTACTGCTGTTACTGTTCTTGTTACTGCCAGTGTTGTTGTTGTTGTTGTTATTTTACTGATGTTACTGTAATTGTTACTGTCAGTGTTATTGCTAAAGTTACTGTTGTTGCTGTTATTGTTACTGTTGTTGCTGTTGTTGTTACTGTTGTTGTTAATTGTTACTATTGTTACTGTTGTTACTGTTACTGCTGTTACTGTTGTTGTTACTGTCAGTGTTGTTGTTACTGTTGTTGTTGTTATTGTTACTACTGTTACTGTTGTTGTTGTTAGTGGTACTGTTGTTACTGTTGTTGTTACTGTCAGTGTTGTTGTTACTGACGTTGTTGTTGTTTCTGCTGTTACTGCTGTTCCTACTGTCAGTATTGTTTTTACTGTTGCTGTTGTTGTTATTGTTACTACTGTTACTGTTGTTGTTACTGTAACTGTTGTTGTTACTGTCAGTGTTGCTGTCAGTGTTGCTGTTACTGTTGTTGTTGTTGTTATTGTTACTGCTGTTACTGTTGTTGTTACTGTTGTTGTTGTTGTTACAGTTGTTGTTGTTGCTGTTACTGTTGTTGCTGCTGTTGTTGTTGTTGTTAGTGTTGTTGTTGTTGTTACCGTTGTTGTTGTTACAGTTGTTGTTGTTGCTGTTGTTGCTGTTACGGTTGTTGCTGTTGTTGTTGTTACTGATGTTGTTGTTGTTACTATTGTTGTTGTTACTGTTGTTGTTACTGTTGTTGTTGTTACTGTTATTGTTGTTGCTACCCTGTTACCCTTGTTGCATATTCACTCACATATTGTTAGATGTGCAATTCCTTTGGTGCGTGTCTCGTGCAGTTCAACACTTAAGCCCTCGGCGAACAAGGAAACATTGTTGTGGAAACATTGTTTCCCGCTAATGTTTCGCCGTCTTTCCCAAAGTTTTCAAACATTAGAAAACATTAGTGAAGAACAGGAAAACATCAAATGTTTCTGAATTTGGTTGGAAACATTTGATAGGAAAGAAAAAATAAAAGTAGCAGATTATAATTGGTAGAAATGAACAACTCCATTTTAAAAACTATGGCACTAGCGTTCTTTCTAAAAAAAGAAATGTAATAGGCATGTCCGTCAAAAATATACTATATGCAAATCTCCACATATTTTCTGATGTGTCGAAGCTCTCGTTGTTCTTCCTAAGCCAAGCAATACAATCACAATTATTTTAATAAATTTATTCTGTACAAGTGTTATCATTTACGGCATTTTTTTTCATATTAATGCACACTTTTTAACTGCAGTTTCCAAAACGAAGAAGTCAGGTTATCGGAGGGATAGCGAGTTAGACCAAGACAAATCCCAAGGTAAATATTTCACAATGCGTTTTTAATGTTTAACTATTTTCGAAAATTTAACCGAGATCGAAAAAAAATGAAATTAACAACAACACGCCTGCTCAAAGTTCACACTGATCTGAAAATGCCGCCCCTTCGGTGCTATCTACAAACATCCATCGACAAACTAGTGTATGAAGACAGCAATTAAGGGTCTTAAATCTTCCACCCCTAATCTTAATAATGAATTTCTTTCTGTCATAGTGACAAAGTCAAAGAAACAAAGAACGTCCAACCAAAGCGACAAAGACTGGTCAACTGGTAAGTCTGGTGAGGTCAACAAACTTGCCCACTGGTTGGTTCTGTTTTTGAATTGAACGAGCATGATACTGAACTTAGCATCTTGGAGAAACAATTTGCATCCGGCAGTGATATGGTGGCATACAAGTGGTTTTGACGTGTTGAAATTAGAGTTCACTAGGCATAGATGAATAGTCAAAGTGGCATTAATATTTCGAAATGATTTTTATTATATTCATATAGTTCTTTAATAGAAACTAAGGGACGGACCATTAGAAAAGTGATGGGGAGGGTGGGGAAAAAACAGAAAAAAATCCATGCAAACAAAAAAGGTTTGAAAAAAAATACATGCAAACAGACTTGTTTAAAAAAAAATTACAAACAGAACAACAATAGAACTTTAATTTTAAATGTACATCAGACAAAATTGATCTAAATCTTTGGAATATGTCAGAATATAAATATATCAAAATATATAATATATTAATATGCAATTTCTTTCAATATTAACAGTAACTCTTATGTAGTTTTATTATATACTATCAAAATATTTTCTATTGTATTTAATATTTAATTCTCATTCACACTGCCACTGTCCTCAGTGGCGCAGAGGAGGTTGGACAGCAGGCCGCAAAGCATCATGGATATTGAGTGCCTAATTCCGCGCGTGACTTCATTGACTGTTGACTGTCGAGGAGTGAACATCTCTCTGACTAAACCAATATGGAAGCTTTCGAACGACAAGAGTGTCAGGCTGCGATATTTTGTGAAAAGAAACAGCATGTTATTGCTGTATTGTTGCGATCATCATTACGACTTGTGTTTTACTATACCAAGTTTACCTTTTTTAAATATTTGCATGGGACATGTTGTCATTTTAGCTTGATAAATAATGCGTCTGAGCGAACGAATTGTACTTATATTCCCAATAGCGAGGCTCTTCTTTCTAACTTGGATGACGTTAAATCTCCGTGTATCATCAACGTGAAAACAAGCGCAATATTTAAGGTTGGTATACTACAATGCATTACAGTTACCTTGTTATTTAGTCAAATTATTATCCGCTTTTTTTTAACCTTGTACTGTAATTTTATAAATACACTGTACAAAATTAATATGGCGTAATATTTGTGTTTATAAATGGCTCTAGTTTGACTCTATTGTGTGTGTCTGTGTACTGTGATACATATGTACATGCTTTGAGTTAAACAAATTGTTTAATAAATTTTTGCTGAAGTATGATGCCTGTTTGTATCTAGTTGTGGATAGATTTTTACATATATGTGCATACAATAGTGATATTTTTCAATTTTCATCTGTAAAATATTGCCATATTTGTGTGTTGTTCTATAAATATTACTGTAAATAGTGACACACTTTTGCATTAGATTTCTAATTTTAGAGATTACAGTTTATGTACAAAATAATAAAATAAAAATTTTCTTGTTATGATTTTGTAGAAAGAGATCTACTTCAGTGGTTGGCTGGTCTTGAAGCTGGTCAGGATGGATATGGTAATGAAGGTGATAGGGCAGAAAGTGGTGACCAGTTAAGTGATGAGGATGAAAGTGACGAGGACGAAATCACCCATGCTGTACCATTCAAGTGCATCGGTGCTGCTCATGAGAAAAATTACCAACATCAACAGCATACCTTGTCCTTCATGGACAAGATAAACCAGTGAATGTAAGAATACGGCTAGAGAATCCTGGAATGGACCCAAGTGCAATTGCAATTGATGTAGACTATGGAACTGGATGGACACACATTGGTTATCTTGCTTCTCAACTATGCGAGTATTTGCACCGACTAATTGCCACTGGAGATATCTTAGAGGTCTATGTTCAGCATATCAAGCATAGGGTTGACTTTTTTAAAATAGGATTTTATCAGAAAATTTTCATAAAGCGATGTGGTGAGTGGGAGACTCAAGTGGTAAGGAAGAGCACAAGTGTACATTGACAGATGTTTGTGATATAATTGTAACTGACTAGGTTTAGCAAGTTATAGAAATGATCTTATTTCAATTAGGTAACTTTTTAGATTTTCATAAACAAAAACTACAGTAGGTTAATCATAAGTGGGTGTGCACAATTAAAATAAAAAAGTCTGTCATGCACACTCATGCAATTAAGACAAGTACATAATTGTAACATGTGCTGTACTAAATGAAGAAATAAATAGTTTGTACATTCACTTGACCAACTTTGTGAGTAATTTTTATTTTTCATTAAAATTAATGCAACAATAAAACAAAAATATGTCTATTTATATACATATTGATCAAAG